AGATGGTTGAGTGGGTTAGTGCAACTCCAGGGGTACGGTCATGACTTCCGCTCTTGGGCAGCCTCTCAGAAATTGGAGGACTTCCTAAAAATGGTGGAAGAGAGGTGGCATGATCCTCAGGAGGCTCAAAAGGCCACTGATGCGATCCTGACACTGCACACGCGGCAGTTTAAGTCAGTAAGGGATGCCACCGACGCTGTAGAGCGTTTGATTTGTGTTCCAGGGGTACGCTATGACCCCCAAGTCCTATTAACTTCGTACTTGAGGTGCTTATCTCAGCCTCTCACGAACCAGTTGGCAAAAGAGGCCAACATCAATATGCACAACTTTCCTTCGTTCAGCAAGGTAGCCCTAGACCTTGAGACAAAGATAGGGCATGGATAGACACCCACTACGGAAGGGAGAAAGAAGACACTACCTCCCAACTGGAAGGCGAAAGGTCGCATCATGTTTGTCGACAACGATGGATCAACCATCGAGTTGGACGGCGACTTCCAGGAGGGAGTACGTGCAGAGGCGGGTGGCGAAACTTCAGAGGGTGGAGTAGTTGCCGCCGTAACCCAGCAAAAAGGTAAAGGGACCGGTAGACGCCCTAGGGGATCCCGGTCGAAGAGTCAAACAGACCCCAATGCTCCTCCATGGGAGAAAGCGGGTCTATCTGAGGACATGTGGAGAGACCGGTGGGCCCGGCAAGCTTGTATCAAGTGTGGTCAGTATGGCCATAGCATGTACAAGTGCCGAAATAGGAAGGTCACCGAGAAGATCCCACCTAGGATGGGGCCGGCAGTAGGATCCTCCACTCCCGTTGGTAGCAACGTTGCCAGTTCTTCAGGCACCGCTCCGGGAAACACGTCGGGCCAGTAGGAATAGTAGCTGTTCCTACTAGGGTCACGGTGGTGGATACGCCCGCACCTTCGCGAGAGATGGCCCAAGCTACTGACTCTCCAGTCGTCCGACAAGCACATTCAGACCCATCGACCCTCTATTTGATGAATGTGTTTGAGTCCTTAGAGGAGCTAGAGGGGAGTGGTCTAGATTAGACCCGCTAGCTTCTTGGACGGCCTTAGTCAAAGCTCCTAAGGGTGAGATGTTCGTCAGCGAGGCTGTTATTGGAGGCCGAAAGGCCGGGGCCTATTATGACACTTGCTCGACACGGAACTTTATTAGTCGCGCGCGCGTTGAGAGACTGCGCTTACAGGGGCGAGTGCAGCGCCTGAGTCGACCTGTGGAGTCGACATGTGCCAACAAACAGCGCATGGTAGTTAACCACTACCTCCAGGATGTAGAGTGTAGTTTCCCGTACGCGGGAGGGGACTTGAGGCATCGTGTCTCGTTCCTAGTAAGCAATGAACTCCCCATGGACATGTTGTTAGGTATGTACTACCTCTCTGTGGCACAGCCCCAGTTTGACTGGGACCGAAAAGTGGTCAAACACACTCTGCCAGGTGGAGGGACCGCCAGATTACATAAGTTCAAAGCTAGTAGTCTGATTGAGTCCTACGGGTGCATGTGTGAGGTCGCATTCTATAATTATTATAAGCAAAATCAGGAGGAGGGTATGTACTTAGTTTATGTCTCTGCTGCAGGCGAGCCGGTGAAAATGCTGCCAGAGATAAAGGGAGTAGTTGCCAAGTACCCGGATCTATTTGAGGAGCCTACAGGGGTTGTTGAGAGGTAGGTCGTCCACGCGATAGAGATTATCCCAGGGTCTAGTATTCCAAAGGGTAGGATCTATCGGATGTCTCCAGGCGAGCTTGATGAGCTTCGCCGCCAACTCAAGGAACTCATAGAGAAGGGTTGGATCCGGCCGAGTGTCTCTCCTTACGGATCTCCAGTACTGTTTGTACCTAAGAAGAAGGAGGGCACTCTCAGGATGTGCATTGACTATAGGGGCCTCAATGCCATCATTGTGAAGAACAAAGAGCCCCTACCGCGCATCGATGATCCGTTAGATAGAGTGCAAGGGTGTCGGTACTTCAGTAAAATAGATCTGAAGTCCGGGTACCATCAAATTGCAATCCAGCCCGAGGATCAACACAAAACCGCATTTCAGACCACGTACGGTCTGTACGAGTTTGTGGTGATGTCTTTTGGCCTTTGCAATGCTCCTGGCACCTTTCAGCACGCTATAATCGGATATTCCATGACTACTTGGATAAGTTTGTCGCCGTGTACCTCGATGACATACTTATTTTTAGGTAGACTGTCGAGGAGCACGTAGCACACTTAGACAAAGTTCTCAGTCTCCTGTGACAGCACAAGTTCAAGATCAACGGTGAAAAGTGCGAGTTTGGCCGCACCCGTATCTTGTACTTGGGTCATGAGATCTCCGCGGAAGGGTTGAAGCCCAATGACGCGAAGGTGGCCAGCATTCGTGATTGGCCACGACCTCAGTCTGTGACTGAGATGAGATCTTTCTTAGGAATGACAGGCTACTACCGGACTTTTGGAAATAATTATAGCATTGTGGCCGCTCCTTTGACTGATCTGACCCGCCTTGACACCCCTTGGGAGTGGACAGATGAGTGCGAGGCTGCTTTCAGACATCTGAAGCATGCATTGACGCACTATGAAGTCTTGAAGCTACCCGATCCTGATAAGCCATTTATAGTAACCACGGATGCTAGTCAATATGGCATTGACGCCGTGCTTGCGCAGCAGGAGGGGCCAAAGTTGAGGCCAGTTGAGTTCATGTCTAAGAAAATGCCGTCTCAGAAGTTGGCTAAGTCCACTTATGAGAAGGAACTCTATGCGGTGTACAAGGCTCTCACCCATTGGAGACACTATCTCCTTGTGAGGTTCTTCATCCTCAGAAGTGATCATCAGACCCTGAAATGGATGAGAACCCAGCCGGTACTCTCTAACGCTCTCAAGCGTTGGATCGAAGTCATTGAGCAATATGACTTTGACCCTCAGTATCTAAAAGGGGAGTATAACAAGGTTGTTGACGCCCTGTCACGCAGACCAGACTTCTCAGGTGCGCTGATTACTGAGTTCAGTCTCACGGACAATGTTACTCAATCCTTGGTGGAAGCCTATCGCGAGGACCAGTTTATGTCTGAGATCATATGCAGACTTGAGGCGAAGGACAAGAAGACGTCCGCCGAGTTTAAGTTGGTTAATGGCTTGCTGTTCCTTGAGAAGGCAGGGAATAAACGATTGTGTGTTCCCAATAGTGAGCCTTTGCGTAGTTTGTTTCTAGGTGAGTGTCATGATGCCACCGGTCATTTCGGGTATAAGAAGACCGCAACCAACTTGCTGCAGCGATTCTGGTGGCCCACGATGATGCAAGATGCACAGCTGTACGTGGAGACTTGTCAAGTTTGTCAACGAGACAAGCCCCGTACTCAGGCTCCTCTTGGGCTGCTTAAGCCCCTTCCGATTCCGGAAAGGCCGGGTGAAAGCTTGTCCATGGACTTCATGGATACGCTGGTCACCAGCAAGAGTGGGATGAGGCAGATCTTCGTCATCGTGGATAGGTTTAGCAAGTATGCTAGGTTAATAGCCATGTCGGAAACAACGAAGACCGAGTATGTAATGAGGCTGTTCAAAGAGAACTGGGTGAGGGATTTTGGATTGCCTAAGTCTATTGTAAGTGACAGGGATGTCAGATTTACAAGTGAATTATGGAAGGTCGTTGCAGCTGAACAAGGAACTCAACTGCAGATGACTTCTGGAAACCATCCAGAAGCAAACGGCCAGGCTGAACAGATGAACCGCGCTGTCCAACACCTGTTGAGGCATTACACTAAGCCCAACCAGGTGGACTGGGACGAGAAGCTTGCTCTTGYCGCCAGTCTGKACAATAAYGYTGTACACAGCGCTACCGGTGTAAGTCCTAACAGTCTACATCTAACCTTTAGGCCTAGACTGCCTTTAGACTTCCTACTTCCTGATAACCAGCCAACTATTACGCCGGACACTTTGGAGTTCGCGTATCGTTATGAACAGAAGATGCAGGAGGTTGTAGAGCACATACAGAAGGCGCAGGCAGCAATGATAGAATCTGAGAATAAACACTGCCGCCCTTCTACATTTCAGGCTGGGGACAGAGTCTGGGTCAAATCTTCAGAACTGGGACAGGAGTTCGGGATATCCCGCAAACTCATGCCTCATTACTTTGGACCTTGGGAAGTTTTAGACGTAATAGGGACAGATCCTGATGGTCCATCATATGTCATCCGTATCCCTGGTCATCTCAGAACTTACCCAGTCTTTCACGCCTCTAAGCTCGCTGCATTCAAGGAAACTGATCAGTTTCCCTCTCGTCGATCCATGCTGCCCCCAACCATGGACAGAGAAGTCGACATCGATGATATCGTTGACCACAGGGAGATGCCTGTTCAGAAGCCTCCAGGAAGGGGACGTCCTCCAAAGCCAAAGCTGCAGTTCCGAGTCCACTTCAGACATCATACAGATCCGAAGGAGGACCGCTGGTTTACTCGGGAGGAACTTATGCAGACCGCTCCTCAAATCGTTGCCCGCTATGAGAAGGATGTACTGAAAGGAAAGCGCCAGATGGCTGCAGATTGATCTTCGCCTAGGACTAACGAAGATATGGAGGAGGGAATGCGAGGCTACGCCCGCTTAGCCCCTACGGGGCCCTATCTGCAACAAGGTCGGCCGCCCTAAGTGAAGATAGGCACGACAAGCCCTTCGGGCCTCATTCTTCAAGGTACCCCCCATCGGGGAAATTCAGACAGTTGCGTTGCGCCAGTTGGTTGAATAAATCCAGGCCCTGGGCCGCCTGTGTAAATGAATGTGAAGCAGGCCCTAGGCTGGATACGGGTACCGGGCCAAACACAGGCCGGAAGCAGTTGGGCGCATGCAACCACTTCAGGCCCAAGGCCTGCTCTCTTCGTGACTGCGCCTGTGCCTACCGGGCCTACCGGAAGCTTCCTGGACTGGACGCAGGCAGGCCACTTCGATATGGGGAAGGGCCTGCCTCCTCATTCGGCATTCGGGTGCTGGCTGCATGCTGCGCAAGMGCTGCTGCGCTCATTGCTGGCTGGCTGGCACTCACGCTCTCACGGGCGAGCAGGGAGGTAGCGGGCAGCCATAGCCGAGCTGCTCCGCTGTAGGCTGGATGTGACGCAGGGTGGTCCTTGGGTGCAAGTGGCATCTGTGCGGTGTGGATCGAGGTGGTGAGTGTTACGAGAGACATACCTGGTGCTGGAAGCATGCGGCATTGTCCGCTGTATGCTCGTACTTCAGGGAGCTGTTGTTGTCAACATCGGCATTGTAGTATTAGGCTAGATAGGATCTGCCACAAGTAGTCTGGGCGCCGAGCGCCAATAGGATATCAACTCTTGTTCTTTGTTGATGATGATGAGAGACTATTTCAGCATTGTCAATTACGAACTATTGGTGTGTTCTGATTTGGTGAATCTCGTGATGCATGACTGCTGTTGGTTCGAGGTCAAGACTATCTGGACACATATGTATGATGCTGTTTGATTGCTTGAGTTCGCTAATGCTCATCTTCCTTGCACAATTAAATAAGGTAATAAAAAAAAAAATTCTTGGAAAAAGAATTCTCAGAACGAAAAAAAAAAATCTCGGAAACTAAATTCCTCGGAAAAATAATTTTTCGGAAAAGAATAATAATTTCTCGAAAAAAAAATATCGGAAAAAGAAATCATTCCTCGAAAGAAAAAAAATTCTCGGAAAAAGAAATAATTTCTCGAAAAATAAATAAATAATTAATTAATTCCGGGAAATTTCCAAGATAAAAAAAATGCCAAATAATCAATCAACTAATTAATCACTCAATCACTCAATCAATCAATCAATCAATCAATCAATCAATCAATCAATCAATCAATCTCGGATGATTGCTGGTTGATTGATCGATTGTTCGATCAATCTCCTGATTGACTGATCAATCAATCGAAGATTGATTGGTGGCAAATCGCCAATCCAATCAATCAATCGATTGATTGGTTGCTGCCAAGATTCATCGCACTAGCTCCGATACCACTTGTAGCATATCAGAAAGTGAAATGCACTGAAAGCCTAGGATCTAGCAATGACGAAAGTGACAACAACCAGCAGCATAGGTGCAACATTCACAAGGTGTCAATGTGCGCGATGCAAAGACTGAAACAACGGGAAATCAATAACAACACATTTGTATCATCATCATCATAGGCTGGGAAGCGGCGCAGCGGAAGATTTAGTATCAAGAGGACACGTGGACAACAACATGAAAGGGAGAAACTTCGGAAGGGCAAGACACCAGAAAGGTTGCCCTTCTGCTCACACACTATGGGAGAGATCCATAGACATGCGAGAGAAGGGGGAGGGACATAGAGGTAACCAAGTCCAACCCAAGTCTGATCTCCGAATGTCGCACACAGTTCAATCCCAATGTAGAGTGTAAGTCCGATCTGAATGTCATGTCCAATAAGGCAGAAGGCCGTGTCCAAACAATGTCTGCAGTTACCTCTATCTCTACTCTGATAAAGAAGAAGAAGAAGAAGAAGAAGAAGAAGAAGAAGAACTTCGGAGGAGTAGGAGGAGAAGAGGAGAGGGGAAGAAGAAGAAGAAGAAGAAGAAGAAGAAGAAGAAGAAGAAAAAGAAGAAGAAGAATAAAGCTAGGCGCTTTCTGCACTTACCTGGGGATGGCTGAACTTGCAGGTACCGCGGAGCCAGCTATGGCGCTGGTATAGGTAAGTCCTCTTCTCTCTCTCTCTCTCTCTCTCTCTCTCTCTCTCTCTCTCTCTCTCTCTCTCTCTCTCTCTCTCTC